ATCGGGTCCTGGTATCTATTGTTTTGGAGAGGGATCCTAAAATGTGTTTGAATTCTGACAAGCCTTCAAGAGGCGATGGGAACTGGATTGTGAGTCAGCGCTACTTTCCATCTGCAAATTGATGTATAATCAGAAAGAACTTTTGGGAGAAATGCTCCAAATATGTGCAGTAGATTTTCAAGGAATTTGGAAGATCTATTCGATGTTGGCAGACCTTGCTTACAACTACAGCCTACACTCTAGTTTTTGTGTGATGCCATACAAACCTTGTATGGAGGAAAAGATAAGTCTCTGACTGATTAAGAATAGAGTGTTGCATGATTTTGAGACTAAGTAATGGCTATCAAAAAGAATTGGAACCGTTGAATGAAAAGTGTTTCGAATGGTGTCCGACTAAAGATGAAATAAGTTTAGAGGACCAAACTTCCTAAAGGAAAGAAGACTGTGATAACCTCGTTCCGTATTATGCTAATGGGTCCTTATTATGAATTTGATTATGTGTCAAATATGATTTTGTGTGCCAATTATGTGAATATATGTGGTTTTCAATTTCTATCTATTCACCGTAGGACTATCTGTTTGATTATGTACTTTGGAAATTAAATTGAAGGTCTTATTGGCCACAGAACCCGAAATTGACTTCGCCATTGTGATTGGCGTTTCCTAAAGGAAAGAAGACTGTGATAACCTCGTTCCGTATTATGCTAATGGGTCCTTATTATGAATTTGATTATGTGTCAAATATGATTTTGTGTGCCAATTATGTGAATATATGTGGTTTTCAATTTCTATCTATTCACCGTAGGACTATCTGTTTGATTATCTACTTTGGAAATTAAATTGAAGGTCTTATTGGCCACAGAACCCGAAATTGACTTCGCCATTGTGATTGGCATAATTTTTAGAGCCTACGGTGAAATTTAATTGAAAATTGATTTGGATCAAATTAATTAGATTAAATTAATGAGTTAGTGCTCAATTATTTTACATTAGAATAATGTATTTGAGATGGGGCTTTTAGAGGCCATTATACACCCTCACTTTGTTCCTTTTGAACTCATCATCCGAAATTCCCTCTAGAGAGAGAGAGAATCGGATTTAGAGAGAGAGAGAGAGAGAGAGAGAGAGAGAGAGTTCAATTTTGGAGATTTTGCTAAGGTGCTCAAGCTTTGAAGGGCTAGGCTCAAGAACTTGCTTCTATTGGGAAGATTGAGCTTCTAGGTAAGTAATTGATTATAAATTCATGAGTTTAATCTTGTAATTTTGTGAATTCAAAGTTGAAGGGTGATCAAGAACAAGAATTATGTTGTATTTGATGAATTTGAAGTCATGGAATGCATGCATGTGTATAATTGCCATGAATTGGTGTAGTTGAGCATAAAAAATATGATCCATGTAGAATCTTAGCTAGAATCCATGATTGTGACCACCATTTGTACAATTTGAGTTGAAATGGAAGTTATATCTCACGTGCATGTAACCATTCATAAGAAGTATGAGCTTGAATGCATGAAATTGTTATATTGAAAGTGAATTTGGTGTAGATTGGGACATGCATGTGATTAAATTGTGAAATTGAGCTTCATTGTGTTGTAATTTAGTGGTTATACCATGTTAGAATATGTATATGTGAAGTTTGAGCCAAAATCATGCATTTGGAACATTTGAACATCAAATTGAAGCCCAGGAACATGTTCTGGATTTTCCAGAATTTTGATGTCCGCACGAGCGGGGAAACCGCCGCTTGAGCGTAAAATTCGTGTTCCTAGTATTTTCTGCAGACATGGTGTCCGCTCGAACGGGGGAGTTCACGCTCGAGCGGGGAGCCATGTAGAGAGGTCTTCCGCTCAAGCGCTAGAGTGCACGATCGAGCGCAAATTCGACATAACCAGTACTTTTGCAGGCCTCAAGGGTCCGCTCGAGCGGGGAAGTCGACTCTCGAGCGGGGACCCTGTTTTCTAAAATTTTGAAAAGACATTCTGTGCTTCATTTTCTGTTCTCTTTCACTTCTAAGTACTCTTAGGCATGCATTGAGCATTGTAATTGAGTTAAAGAGATAAGAATGAAGCCTAAAGAGGAATATGTGAATTAAAGAATGCATTGAATTGTTTGTGACCCATATGTGCTGTTTGATGTGTAGGGTCAAGCTCCAGGGCAAATCCACAAGCCGATCACTGTGAGTAATATCTTAACAAGATATTTGAAATATGTTATTGTCCAATTGTTTACTTCTATGTAAGTTTTGTAAGTTCATTAATTTGAATGGTGGACAACGATTGACATAAATGATTGGGCCGAAGGCCGATTGACATAAATGATTGGGCCGAAGGCCGATTGAGAAGAATGATTGGGCCGAAGGCCGATTGGCATAAATGATTGGGCCAAGGGCCGATTGACATTAACGATTGGGCCAAAGGCTGATTGACATAAATGATTGGGCCAAAGGCCGATTGACATAAATGATTAGGCTAGAGGTCGATTGACATAAATGATTGGGCCGGAGGCCAGTTTGACATGAATGAATGGGCAAGAGGCCAGTTTCACATGAATGAATGGGCCAAAGGCCAGTTTGACATGAAAATCTGAATGGGCCAAAGGCCAGTATGACAAATGGAAGATAAATGGGCCAAAGGCCAATATGTTTGGAACCACAGTCACTTGACTTAAATTGTGTATATATATATGTTAAATAGAAATATGAATTGGGCCCAAGGCCGTTTGAAGCATGTTGTTCTACGTACCATTTATATAACCCATTTATTTGATATTATTCACTGGGCTATTATTCATGTGTTTGTAGGTGAGCCAAGAGAAGTCCAAACCCAGCCCTAGTGAAGTATGTGTGGAACAACAAAGGTTTTGAAGAGTCAGCCCTTGCGTCTCATGCACGAGACTCGTCTTCGCCTCTTTGTCATTTTGTTTTGTGTTGTCATGTTGGCAAAGTCTTTGGACATGTCTGTATATAGTTTTCATGCGTTGACTTAATTTTGGATGATCCTGTCTGTACATAACTTTTGGTACTATACCTCTATTGTGAGTTATTAATGTACATATTTATGGTTTGTTATGATGTGCCATGTAAGCACAGTTGTATGGACAAAGCTTTAAATTGCTTCCGTTTGGCACCCGTTAACTCTGTTAAAATATGTTTGGTTTGGTTTGAGGCCGTAGGTAACCTCATGATTATTGGTCGGTTATGTCCTTAACCCACGGGGACGGCTTCGGGTCATGACAGTTTAGTTCTCACGATTGTGCCCGTTTTGGCCTTGGGCATCTCCTGGTATTTCATGAGTGCTTTAGAGAATTTCGCCTTATCAATTCTCATAGAAGCGGCCCCTTCACACTCATATAGGTGATCCTTATTTCGAGTCACTTAAATACTCCTCTTGAAAGATACCCCTCGAGGGTCTTTAAGATATAAGTGATCATTAAAAGCATAGCTTACCCTATGTCCCCTATATACAACAATTGTTGCAGATATCACTCTTATCATAGGAATGGATAGGAGATAGACTCCTTTAGTGATTTCTGGCTAGCCAGACATAACTTAGCTGTCCCTTTAAACTTAGTTCTTGGGATCTCTAGTCATTTGAGTAGGGTTACCATTATGATGACTCTGATGTAATAGGCTTTAATCACATTCCCCTCGATGAACTTTTCCGTATTTGCTCTCTGGTCAAACCTTATGTTTAGCGGCCGCTATTTTTCGTTTGACCTCTTAGTTATATATCATGGAGCAATTAGAGGATCCATTATATTATCCTTAGACAATATTCACAACTGAAAGCAAATGTCTTACGGTATTATGTCTTTGATTACTTCGAGACTTATTGTTGCTCTATGTCACTCCTATTTTCAAATTTAAATAATAAACATAGAGGTATTCTTAGGAGTTAATGAAACCATATTTGCTTCTACTCTAACTTTGTCGTACAAAAAGAATTGAGATTCTTTGTGGACCTACAATCAGAACCGTTACTTTGGTACAATCCTCCAAGCACCACGAAATTTTAAGCATTCCAAGGAAACTTAATTTCTTTTGATGGTGTATAATTACACAAAAATATTAATACACTCCCACAATTCTGAGATAAATCAGAATATATCATTACTTGTCATGCTTGAACTAAATAACAAGATGTAAATTGCTTTGTGAATATAATCATAATACTAATTTGTCTAAAATACAATTAAACTTCATAACTTGCTTTTGCAGTACAAGAAAGAAATGACTAATATCGGTTGTGGCCACAACACTAAATATAATCACAATACTAATTTGTCTAAAATACAATTAGACTTCGTAACTCGCTTTTGTAGTACAAGAAAGAAATGAATAATACCGGTTGTGGCCACAACACTTTGTCAAATAACATTTCTTTCGCCATGATTAATTTCTTTTTGTTTACTGCAACCCTTAATTTCAATCTCAACATGTAATATAAATATCGCTGTATAAATACATTTACATCTTATTTGTCTTATCTAGTATTGGTGACTACGTCGACAATTACCAAAGTTTCTTTCATCCATGAAATATTTTAACTCGTATAATATTTCATTACGGAGTTATCAGTCACCACACCAATTTTAGTCATTTTTCCAAAGAATAGTTAGAATTCCTCTTATGTTAAAACACATAGGTTCACATTTTTATCAACACTTTGATAACTAATTAATATCAAATTGTCAACTCTATAACATATGTAGACATGGACAAGATTAACAAGTCAATCATAATCATAATTTTCCCATTAATCTCGCTCTCCCACATTTGTGATAATACATAAATTAGCACAAACAACATGATTTATTTATAGAAAAGTGTCAATGTCACAAATAATAACTCATTCAAAAATATTTGAGACAAAAATGGAATTATCTTTACTAATTCAAAAGATAAACTCCCAAATTAAGAACATGATTCATGGTTAAACCAAATCTACCACACAAGTGAAATAAAGATTGAAGACATCCTATCTCACAAAATTCAAAGTTACTTTAAAAATAACTTTCCATTAATTATTAAAAAATAATAATCAACACAAAAGATTCTTCAATCTATGTTCAATTAAAAGGAAGACACAGCTATTTAAATTATCATGTTTAAATATCTCCGATGATCCAGATTGCGTTGATATTGCACGAACACTACTACTACAATCAAACAAAAGTTATTTACACATAATTTTTCTCATAATACTCCAAAAGAAATTCATTGATGATGTCATCATCACAATCACAAATTAATTGAAAATTTCACAGTATATGTATTTGTATACAAAATATTTTCAATTAAACTTAATCATAAAATTATCAATCAATTCTATCAGCATATATTTGATTATCGACATCAAATTAATTTATGTTATACAACCACATAAATTTACCAACAGGTACAAAAGCACTGTCTATCATGATATTAAAGGGAACTAACAAATATAATATTTATAGTTACCAAGCATTGATTGATATTTTCATTTTGTCGGGGAAAACCAATACCAATATAACTGCATCCAGTTACACAACATAAATATAATTTTGATAATGAAAAGGAAAAAACAATATCATGTAAAGATTAACCACTAAATCAGACGAGTGTAGGTGAGATAACACTTCACTTTTGGGGAAAAGGAAAAAAATACAATTCCCTTCTTTTATGAACAGCAAATATCATAAAGACATGAAAAAGAAACATAAGTGAATATAATACTTTGCAGAAAAGGATAAAATTGCTGCTTTATTACCCCTTTATTAAAACATCACTACTTCAGTCTGTAGATTTTTAGGTGTTAATATCTTTACTCTTTTTGAGTATGATGGTATTATATACTTCAAACAATTTTCATAACCTTACCTTAGCGAAATAAAAATGTCATAATCCATTTCATGACAATAAAACTACAAAACAAAAGATATTTCTCCTTTTCCTTTTCCCATTTTTGATTTTCTAATATTATTATTATTATCTCCAACCAAAAAATACAACCAAACCGTGTATAAGATCTATAAAACATGATAAGTAAAACAAACTAGAAACTTAGAATTAAAGAGAAATTTTACAGATGATAGAATGGGTCTTACCAGCATACTTATTTGGGAAGTTCTTGATGGCACTTGAGAAGTGAGTATTTGGGCCCTCCTCCATCTCCTTGCAATCATATCTATAGTAAGGAACCAGCACTACAAAACTATCGTCTTCCTCATCATCACTCTAGAAATCAAAGGCGTGTGGTTCCAACCACCCAATTGACCAGTCCGAGTCATCGGATTCAGACATTGACAAACAAACACCATCTGCTCCATTTCTTTAAGTTCTCCACAAACTGTCCACAGAAATTCAATTTATTGAGAGCGTCGATGTGCACATGTTGTTGGATTTGAGGTATATATAACTACAGAAGCAGAGTATGAGAATCTCACCCGTGATGCAGTGTTTCTTGCTATTTCCGAAGCAGCATCACCCGCATTTGCAAACCGATTAACCCAACTACGAAGTTTAGGCACACCAAGCCTTTGTATTGAATATCATCACACCGATTGGTTTCTCTGTTTCCAACGATGGATTCAAAAGGCATTAACACATCACTAGCCAAAGTACATTGACCAACCAAAAACCAAAACCTGAACCAATTGTAGCATACAAAATGTAATGAAAAGAGAGACAAAGAAGTAGTGGACCCAATCTCCGAGTCAGCATTTCAAAACTCGTAGTTGGACCTCCATCGAGTATGAGTGAATATATCGGCGTCCCATCCGCCATGAACAACCCAGAAATCCTCTCTGGCGTCGACCCTAATGTCATGTTCTCATACTTGACAGAATCACTCGTTCTCATAATCATCTCCTTCTTGACTTTCAAAGACGCGGCGAGAACATCAACCTTGTCCAAGTGATGGCAATTCGAGACCAAGAACATAGTGTTGGACAATCTTCACTGTATTTAAAAGGATTAAATTCTGTTGTGTACAAAACAACAACAAGAATATAAAGAAATAAAGAAAATGAGAGAAATTGTTTGATTACAAAAGTCAAACTTGAAATAATAAATAAATAAATAAAAATAGATTTTATTTTGTTACAAAAACAAAACTAAAATCTGATTAAAATAAATAAAAACAACACTGAAAATAAATTAAATAACTTACATGATTTAATTTCTTCGAATTATTTTCTGATCAAGTCCAGTGTTTTACACTGTGTCCTTAAGACAGATTCGTCCTCTCCATGGTGCTATCAGAATTTGGACGTCTATCTCCCAGGATGAAATGATCTACCACAAACAATAGCAGCACTACAAATTGTTTGCCTTACGAACACACTAAGTGTTTATATTCTCTCTGACAAGAAAATAATGCAGCAAAATGAAGAGGATGTTTGCAAAATTATGAAGGACGAAAATTTGAGTTCTTAAATCCAAATGAGGGTTATCCTATTTATAGATGTAATAGTGGCTATAGGTTTTGAATTGAACAGGTATGTAACCTGTTGGTTTCGAATTCAAACAGATTTGAATCTGTTGGATTACAATTCAAACAGATAACAAAAATGGGAAGGGCCCTGTTTGGGTGTACAGTAAATCCGGACCAGTTTAATTCCGGTTTAAAAACGGGAAGGGCCCTGTTTGGATGTACAGAAAAAACACGAAATAAAAATCAAACCAGTTTAATTTGAATTCTGATTTTATTTTACCAAAAAAAATAAAAGTACAATTCATGATC